CCCCCCCCCCCCAGGCGAAAGTGACAGAGGAGTCGTCTCAGTACGAATTTGAGAACTACATGAGGCAACAGCTCTTGTTGGCGGAAGAGAAAAACACTATCCACGAGACCAAGAACTTCCTCAGCAAGAGGCATTTCGGTAACGTGCCTCCAGTGAGGCGCCTTGGCCACGACGCTCAACCCATCAGCCCTCTGGATGCCGCAATACTGGCCCAGCGCTTCCTCCGGAATTAGCACCGTCATTCTGCCCGCAGACGGGGGTCACCAGGAGGAGAGCGAGCCACGGAACTGGGCGCACTCTTTTATGTACGTTTGCGTGTGAGAGTGTGTGTGTTTGTGAGCATGCAGCGTGAGTCTGGCAGACACAAACTTGGGCCAAGGAACAGCTCAGCACTCCGTTGTTCCATTCATCGGCCCAGGACACAGACTCTGGACACAGGTCTAATGAGATTCTGACCACCAACACCACATCCACCATGCCAATCCTTGCCCAAATCTCACACACACACACACACACACACACACACACACACACACTTTCAGCAATACCCCAACAGAATCATGTAGCAGATCACACAACTACCCTTTTTCCATCCGCCTCTCCCCCAGCACTTTCTACAGGAGCGCCTCGGATCACATGATCAACCCTTTTGTTCTGTTCCCCTCAACCAGTTCATCTGTTCCGCTCCCATCTGTATCTATGACTGCAAATCTACCTCTTACCATTTTTTCTATCTCTCTATTTCCTCCTTTCTTAGTTAGTTTTTAACAACGCTCTCCGTTCTTATGAAAGCAGGACTCATTATGTTGAGGAGAGACAAGCACAGGCTCAAGATCATTAGCATTGTGGTTGTGTAACTATTCTGTGTCAAAACCAGTGATTGGTTTTTCCTCACAATCTAAATAAGCTTCCCCCCTCCTCTCCTACTAAAACAGTAGCATCTTAAGTTAGATTATTCTCTTTATTTCCATTGAAGATGTTAAGTTTCACAAGTTAAAAAGCTAAAAACCTCATATTACTGAAATCATAGCAGCGCATGTTTCTCCTTCCTCTATTTGAATGGGTTTCTGTTGGCAGCTAGCATCTGTGTCTGGATGCATACAACCAAAAGCATAACTTGGCATCCAAACCGGCCAATATGGTACGTTATTCTCCCCTCTCGCTTTTGTCCAATCAGAAGGCAGCAGAAAGTGCAAGACCACCAGTTCCTGTGCATTCGACCAAATGGAAATTTACTTTTAATCATGTAATAGTCCACTACAACGGACTCTCGAGAGCTGAGCTAGGTGGTACTTTTGTGGATTTCGGTGCGTGTCACACAGGGACTCATCGCAGGGCTGTGCTTGGAAAAAGACGAGGTACGGTACAGCTGGTGATGGGATGAATCTGTCAGGAAGCAGGGCGGCTGAGCCGGCAGTCATACGGAAGTCTAAGCCAAGATAAGCCCTGTAAGCACAGCCCTGAAGCCCTCCTTTCCTTTTGTGTCCCTCCGTCTAGAACGCTCACCCTCTGATAGCATGCCAAGCCATCAAAGTGCATCTTCTGCCATGTCCTGTATCTCCGGTGCTTTCGTTCCTCACACAGATTTCAGCTGCAGCTCAGGGATCGAGGATTGGCCGCTAGGGAACGTTTCTGGCCACAGTGATACAAAGAAACCCATTGCATAGGGGATTGTTTCTTTTTGTTTTTCTTTTTATTCTCTTACCTACTGCTCATTTCCATGTATGGTTATTAACTGCTTCATGATCATGAGGAAGGAAATGCCATGAAACCCACTCCTCCATGTTTCTTGTGTGAGAATATTGCAAGGAAACAGATTCTTAATGTCATTTGACTTTTTTCAGTCCTGTTTTAAGCTAACCCATGTGTATAAAGCATAACTGTGGGATATCTTGCCTTAGGTTATCAACAGGTTTTCAACTCAACCGTGAGCAGTGAATATGTACTTCTGATGCTAGAATATATATTAGTATACTAGGCGGTTGGCTTGCATCGACCTGTGGACCTGTGGCTTAGTTTGCAATGCCTTTATGTCTGGCTCCACTCATGTCATTAAATGAAAAGGTCATTCAGTACTGTAGATCTCTGAGCTCATGACTAGCAGCTTGGCTTGTCCTTTTAATCTCCACTTTAATTTCTTCTTTTGAAGACATACAGCCTGGTAGTATATCCGTACCTTTCTGTTTTCCTTTTAATTTATTTGCTGTTTTTAATTCATCTGCCATGGTAAATGTAGAGATCATGTATCACTCAAAAGCATTGCTGTGATCTCTCATGTTTTTTCCTTCTATCTTCAGTGAAGGTTTTGTTTTATTGTCTCTCTTTCCTCCTTTTTTTTTTTTTTTTTAATTCTTGAATAATTATTGCAACAATCCTGTCAGTATATTAAGCTACACTAATTAGGTGACTGACTTTGCATAGCTCTATTTTAAGTCAACTAAATTATCGTGCACATTAGCATGACATGTAGAATCGATGTAGAGTTTATCTTGCGAGATAGAATGATACAGCACTCTGGCCAGTGTGAAAGACATCGTGATGGCGGATAGGCGTCAATAGTGCAAAACCCAGTGCAGGGTATTATTATTCTGAAGAATCGCACCAATGTTTCCACACAAGCCACCATTGAAAGCATTAGTTTTTCCAACCTCAATGTGAATATATTTGGTTGTAAAGCAGTATTGTAGTGGATAATATGCGTGACTTGATGGAGAGGGACTTTTTTTGTGAGCAAATCAAAGTCCTTTCCTTATATTCAAAAAGGAGTGCCTCAAGGCTATATCCTAGGTCTACGTAGAGTTCTCACAAAAGCCATTATAGCAAATTTGTACAGTTGCAATATGGCTGCTGTTGATGTGGTTGTGTAGTCTGTACCCAAAATCTAGATGAGAGAAATTAGTAAATATTTCTGTTTAATATGCCCCCTACGCAAGTGACTGCAAACTCCCCCGTCCCCCTTGCATAGACAGTTTTGTGATGTCCAAAATTCTGTCTGCAGCATGAGAAGTGTACGTTTTTTGAGCTCTGTATACAAATTTGAAGCAATTAGTGCATGATTCTAATTAGCAAGACGTGTCCAAGATGCAGCAGAAATTGTAGTGGATGTGGGTGTATTGCAAATGATGAATACTCCAAAAAACACAAAGACACTGCAAGGGAAGATACTGAACATTAAGTTTAACTTTGATTTTCTTTTCTTTTTAGGCCACTTTGTGCAGATGTTTCATCAATTGGGAGATTTCTCTTTAGAATTGTTACTTTTTTTGCATCTTTTACTAAAACTGGAAAATCTAAATCTGGTGTAAAACGAAACATGATGAAACTGGTCAAAAGCCTGAACGTTTGATGTCATAAGCTGCTTGGTTAGAATGGTATCAAAGAAAAAAAACTGGGTAATTGTACAGAGGAAAAACTAATTTGTATAAAAGACATATTTTTGTACTTCGTCAAATCTCTACATGCATGTCAGCAATAAACTTTTTTGTCTCTTTGTATGATTTGAAGTGTAAAAGATTTTTAAAATTTAATTTTGCCTTTAAATCCAGTATTTAACAGCACTTTTTTTTTTAAACAATGCATCTCTTTGATGACATCAGTATAATACTTTGTTTCATTCAAATAAGCTCTGTTTGAAAAATTATTTTAATTCTTAATAGTCCTTTATTTTGGGTGAAGTTTTCAGTATGTTTTTGAGAACAAAACGCTCATAACTGCATTTTAGGTGCAGTGCTGCCTTCTTGTGGTAGACCTATGGAATGACATGCAAGACTTTTTGCAGAGATGCCCAGACAAATTTGATCTCATCTCAGTCTGAATTAAATGGATCTGTTTGGATGATGTGATATTTAGAGAACAAAGTTTTGTTGTAATACCATCCTGATTAACCCTTAAGCTATACAACTTTTTAGTTAAAAAGACTCGTATTTATTGACTTGAAAGCTCTTTTCATCAGTTTCTCATCAAGTATCTACAATTCACCTTTTACAGAAGACGTTTACTCTAGCACTTTGTGTATTTGTGCTCATTAATCATCTGAATGTCTGTGTAGATGTTTGAACTCGAAGGTTGCTGGTCATTATTCACCTTTCTCTCCTGAAATGAGATGTCTGCCAGTTTCATTTGCCAGAATAAGCTTCAATGTGAACCAAACCTTATTAATCAAGACCTGGACACATAGGACTAGTTTGAAGCAAACATTGAAAGTCCAACACATTAAAGTACATCTCCCAAGAGTTGTAAAACCAACTTCAGCCTAATAGTTTACAAGCCACTTATTTGTTGAAAGCATATTTTGAAAGGAATCACTCTATTGTAAGTCCAACACATTCAAATACATCTCCCGAGAGTTGGAAAACCAACTTTAGCCTAATAGTTTACAAGCCACTTATCAGTTGAAAGCATATTTTGACCGGAATCACTCCTTTAACATATTCAACCCATAAGTCCTCTATCGTTGAGCAATTTTGACCAGAAAAAACATTCACATGATGCACACAAGGCATCCATATGAGCTGTTGAACAAAACTGTGCTCGCAAAGCAAATTCCTTAGCTGTTTGTTTTCATTTCACTGTGCCTGTCCCTATAGTGTGCTCAAAACAACACATGGGAGTTTACATGCAAGATTTCCAGAGCACATTTTGGACATCCTTTATTATTGATGATCTGATTTCCTGTAAATACATCCTCAGAATGCAATATTTTTAGTCCTGCTCTTTTATAAGACTGTTTTAATGGCTCAGACTGCCTGGGGTTAATGTAGCAAATTTGAAGTGTTTGATAAATGATGTTACTGCTCCCCTGGGGTTCAGCACTAGTTTTACGACTCAAAATCACCATTAAATGTGTGAACCACTACGCCTCGCAGCAATGCTCACATTAAAGACAGAAAACAGTGCTGGCTAACTCAAACACTGGGGTTAAATTGGAGACATTTTTAGTGAATGCTTTGGTGTGGGTTGTGAAGCTGTTGTGTACTGCAGAGATGAAAGTTTCCAGTCTTATGATAATTCCGTTCTAGTCTTATGAAACTCAGCTGGCAGTGGCTCACATTTTATTTGATCTGGTTACATTTAAATGTTTTAATTTATTTGAATATAATCCTATTATTTTTACTTGTTTACATTTAGTTTTTAAACAATTTTTTAAATGATGTGTTAAACTCTCTCTTTCTCTCTCTATATATACATACAAATACAAATGTAAACTATATGGATGGAATATATATTTAAAACTACACATATACATATATTGCATTAAAAGCATTGAAAATTAATAAAAAACAAATGTAACCTAATTAAATTACATTTTAATTTAATTATATTTGGTTACATTTATTTTTGTTACATTCTATATATATATATATATATATATAGGCTTGCTTCTCTTACATAATTGTTTTATCTCTTTGTCTGTTATGAAAACTGCTCCATGTAAGTTATCTTACCTAGACAGATAGGTTAAGATACTTTAGTATTGCCATAAACGCAGCTGATTTTTCAAGTTGCAAGGAGGTTATTACTGAAGAAAGAATGAATTTAGAGGAGTTCTCAAGAAATGACTGAATCCCATTTTCCCCTCTAACTTATCTAAAATATGTTATGCAAAGACAGAATCCACCTGCACCGCCTTTCTGTATACCAGTGTGCTAAGGAGTCCACTGTCACAAAAAACAAACAAAAAAAAATTCTGATATGGGAGCTTTTTTAGTAAATTTCTAGTTAAAAAAAAAACACTGTTGATGCCTGACTGTCAGCTTTCACTGTAAGCGCCACGTGAGAAATGTACAATGTAAGGGTGAGTACATGATGTAATTTATTTTTGGGTGAACTCTCTATTTGGTCTATCACATGCTCATTCATTCCTCTTGAACACGTAGCTTTGGCTTTGACAGGATGCCGGGGATTCATGACAGGATACATTTGTTTCCCCCTCTGAGCAGCAGTGGAGTTTTGTGTTGTGTAACTCCCTGAATATTCCAAGTCTGTCTCGGCGACAGCAGAACATGTGTGTTGTCTCTCGGGTGAAGTCTGACGTCTGAAGGCCTTATTGATTTCTATCAACCATTTTTGTACCCAGTGAATCGCATATGATGACATGATGATACACAGTATTCACTCACAGTCCCTAATCCCCAATTTTGAAGTGTAAACGAGAACATTTCCCTCAAGTAATAGTTTTCTTCCTCTGTTGAATCAGGAAGGTCGCCAAGCTGTAATTTGAAATCTTTGTTGTCCATTCCATTCTTGTCTCTTTTTTTTCCCCTCAGTACCCCATTCTGGAGCAGTATCCTCCATCTGACCCGAGAGCCCCATTGATTCCATTATCCGCTGGATGAGATCCAGACTCTGTCAATTAAAGCCTTCTGCTGTAGTGGAGGACATGCTGAGTAACCTGCTGTGTGTCCGTCTCAGAGGCCTTTGTATCCTTGACCTTGAGCACATGAGATACGACCGCTCTCGCTGCTTTCCCAAAAGACTTGACACTGATCTGCCACCCTGCAAAAACTAAGCCTGTATTTGGCAGAGCCTCATGGCCCCCAAGTTTCTTACAGGTTTGTTTCTGTATTAAATTCAAAAATTACAGCAACTCAATGTAGTTTTGTGTATTTTTGCGACTTTGGAGCCCCCTACTGTTGGAATTCACAGTCGTAAATATATCGATGTCGTAATTACAATCGATAGTTGTACTAGAGATTATCTATAAGGAGATGAGAGGGTCTGTATTACTTACTATTGGAGAAAGCGTAACGGCTAACTTGGATCACGTGTCCCTTAAAGGTGCTGTATGTAAGTTTTTGACTCTACTATAGTATAAAAATACCATGTTTGCAGATATTTAAGAAACATGCTAAGTAAACATACTTGTTTATCTGAAAAACAATGCTACAGTAAGTTATTCTCCTTTGAAAATGTGCGTTCCGGGCCGGAATGTGGTCTCTGTTTTAGTTTGTGAAACCTACCCACTGCCAGTTTACCCAATTGTATTTCCTCACCCCGGGTTGGCAGTTGGCGGAAAACAGAGCATATTTCATTTCTTTCATCGTCAAGTGCGCTCGTTCCTGTTGGTGTTGTCAATCTGGCAATCTGCGTGTGTATCAAGTCTGAGGAAGAGGGGCCGGGTGAAAAAAAACATCTCCAATATTTTTAATTTTGACTGCAATACCTAGTTCAACCACTCGGTGTCAATCCTACATACAGCACCTTTAATTAATAACCAATCACATTACAGCCTTGATGTCATTGAATTTCAGTCAGTGTTGTGCGACACTCAGTTGTCGTTTACGGATACCATAGGAATGAATGAGAAGTGCCGTAAGCTGAATCCCACCTGTCGCAAAAAGTCAGTGACTTCTCTTATAAAACTGCATTATTTTCATGGTAAACTCTAAAAATAGTTCAATCCAAAAGTATTGTTTAGTGTAACACATGTTGAAGATTAGCCAATAGGCTGTCTATTCATTAAATAAGCCGTTTCCTCTAAAAAGCTGTTTATTCAGTGTAGTGAAGCCTCTCCTCCATTGACATACATTTAAAAAAAATGGCCTCTGGTCTGCTGGTGCGTTCAGGTCATGTCGGATAGATCGTATTTACGAGTTGAACGCACATGAACGCCACCACGAAGTCGTTATTACGAGTGGGAAACTCGAAATTTTCTTTAAGCCCCGAGTTTCCGAGTTGGGGGCGTGTCAATGAGAAACATGGCGGAATCGATGGATGGTCTGTAGTTGACGGTAAATTTTTGTTGAAATTGATAGTTTAGTTGTCCTATAAACTTAAATTGGTCATGTTCTTGTTACGCAGCTAGTTAATGAAATCCAAGTTAAAAAATGCTATAATTTTTGCACCTATAGGTGAAAAACACACCTGATGCGAATTCTTTGCTCTTCATTTTCTATAAGCAGAGTTAACAGACCCTGTTGTATTTTCTTGTAATTTATTAAAAGAAGGTACACCGCCATCTTGTGCCGACTAAACTGACTTGAATGCACCTGACGTCGTAATTACGACTTGTCAACTCGTAAGTACGAACGTCCCAGGAGGACTTGAACGCAGCATAACA